AAGTTAAAAAACAAAGTGAAGAGTGTAAAAAAATAAAAAAATGTGTAAAAAGTGTAAAAAAAAATAAATGTGTAAAAAATAAAATAAAATAAGGGACAAATAAATGAATGTATTTATTGCATTTTTTTAGCTATGCTGGTTTTGTAAAAAAAAATACTACAAATCAAAACTGGGAAAAAAGTGTTTTTTTTAAACGTTTTTTTCCTCTTTTTTTATATTTTATGTGTCCTAAGTGAGGCGTTAGACGCACATATGTGATATAAATATGTAGCCCTATCTGTCCTCTAAAAAACAATATATAATATGTGTGGGTGCACTTTGTAAGAAAGTATATTATTGACGTGGAAGAATCACACAGCAAAAATGTCAAAAGTGTGTCAGTCATTTACGAACAGAAACTAAAAACAAGCTCAGTCATGAAGGGGTTAAAGACAGACCTTAATTTTAAAAAAATATGCTCCATTTCCCAACAATCTGACGCCCTATGGCAGGTGTGATCCGTCATTTGTTTTGACTGAAAGTGAGCTGTAGATGGAACTTTCCTCAAAAACGAAATTTTAAAATTACGCGATAGCTCCCCTTTAGTCTATTTTCCCAATTTCAGCATCACAATAGTCTATTTGTAAATCCAGTGGTTTAAAAGTCCACTATAGCAAACAGTGAGGGGAATTTACGTCAATGTGCATCTGTGTTTTGCGCGATATTGCACGATCCAATCCGTGTGATAAATCGCCTCGGTTTGAGCCTAGCCTAAAGATGCATTCAAGTACCTTAACTATTAAAAATGTATCTTATTTGTGTATCACTCGGCTGTAGATCCTCAAATCATCTCTCAATTGCTGCTGACACTGTCCTTCCTTCTGGAGGGGGGCTACTTTGGTTCCCCATGGTCCCTGTGTGTGTTGTAAAGTAGCCACCGTCCAAGCTCGCTCCTGTGATTGACTTCAATCTCACATTTAGTTTACTAATTTTTATTGAAGTTTTAGTCCATCACAGGATGAAAAGAGAAAAGGACCAATCTGATCACTTCTATTCCTTCAACAAATAAAAATTAAAGGATGAGAAAGAAAAATTAAAGAATGAGAAGGAAAAACCATAGTAGACCTAAAAGGTTTTTAGAAGCCCAGATCAGCTGTCTTACTGGGGGAAGGAGCAGATGGATCCACCAAGTTTTATGCCCCATTCACACCAGGGCGACAGTGTTTCAGCGCATTTTCCGCTCTAAGTGTGTTTTACACGCATTTTCCGTTCATATGTCAGCACATTTTTTTCAGCTCATTTCAATTGTCCAATAAGAAGCAGGCTCAGCTGCAAAAACATGCTTGAAAACACGCAAATACACGCTGATCACCAAATTTCTATTGAAGTCTATGGAGCAAAATGCGCAAATTAGAACCACAAAAGAAGTTCAGAGAGTAATGCATGGGGTGTATTCGTTACAGCGAGGAAAAAAAATGCCCTGGTGTGAAGGGGGTCTAAGGCCTCAATGCCTGAAAGAGACCCTAAAACTGTTTTCTTTTGTCGGAACAGAAGAGCCACTAACTGCTCCTGCTTACTAAGGGAGAAAGGCATTTCCGGCTTTTTGGGAAAAACAAGATGATCTAAAACTGTATCAAACAGGGAATCAAAACAGAGAGGGGGAGGTTTCTGTGACCCAGATGATCAGACTGCCTGAGAATCTAAGTTGAAGCCCTCCATAATAGAGGCTCAACAGAAAAGTACATCACGGCATCCTGAAAGCTCCAAGGAAGGCTCAAAGATGGTTGCAGAAGTAGGGTTGCAAGGAAAAGGATTTGCTTCAAGTGTGGCTCAGCAGACTTGCACATGTCACAGAGCAAATCACGCTGCACACTGTCAATCACAGAGACCACTAAAATCTGCATAGGGAAGCCAACAGTAACCTCATGAAGGCTGGTCCTCTGTTTTTTTTTTGTAAATTCTTTATTTAAAGAGGTATTTTTGTTTTTTTTTAGTTACAAAAAGAAAACAGGGAATGGTCCTCTGTTTTGATGCTGAACATAATGTCAATAGCAGCAAACGTTGAGCACAATGAAAAGTAGGTGGAGGCCACTTAAGGGTACAGGTACTGGGGTACTCACAAACTGGTGAAGACTAGTCAGCTGACCTTAGCAGAGATATGGAGGTGGTCTGGTCATGGTCCAAAAATCTCTGCAGATGGCACTGCTCTAAAGAGAGAATGGCACTGTGCCTAGAAATTTATGGAGCAGCTGTGTGGCAGCAGGAGGAGTGCAGAAGGCAATCTTACTCAAGACAACAATGAAGCAGCAAAAAAGAGGACCGGAGATCATAAGACTGTATGCTCAACAAGCCCCATCCACTTCCTAAAACAGACAGAGAACACAGGAAAGACACCGTAAACAAGGTTCCTGTAGCAAGGGCAAATGCCCTTAAGCAAAATGGCAGTGGGAGATGCAGAAGTACTGCTGGAGGAAAAGAGGGCCTTCGCTAGAGGACAGTCAGCTTGAGGACTGGGTCTGTTGGCCCTAGAACCTTGAGGGAGATGTTATGAATTCACAGAAGTGAATCTGACATGACACACAAAGCAAAGATTCTCATGCAGCGCAAGCACTTTTCAGGTACACCTCTGCAGAGAATGGGATCAGGGCTGCCTCTCAGCAATTTTTAGTGCAGTACTTCTGCCCCGGACGACAATCCAAGATATCAGGGATCTGGCAATAAACTACCAGAAGCTTCCCGACTTAAGAAATGCAACTTGTGAAGTCTTGATCCAGCTTGAGAGATACTTACTAAGCTAAACATAGCTGTACAAAAGACTTTAGTCACTATTAGGGATGTCCTGATACTAGTATCAATGCCGATACAGGGCATTTTCATGAGTACTTGTACTCGTGAAAATGCCCTGATACTAAAGGCCGATACCAGCCCTTTACATTTTTAAACCGGATTGGCTGCCTGAGGTCCCACGCTTGTGGGGACCTAAGTCAGCTTGTCGGGGACCTGGCAGCAGTTGTCTATGACAGTGCCTGTCTGGTCCTACACCTCCTTCCCGATGCGTGCACAGCCCCACACCACACATACAGCCCCGGAGCCGGCACAAGACCGGCACCCACCCGCTCAGCCCAGCACTTGCCTGGAGAGACCCACATGCAGCCCTGGTGAGATTTGCGTACGCAGCCCTGGTGAGATTTGCGTACGCAGCCCTGGTGAGAAATTGCCCTAAAATTAGTCTGTGTTGTTTTAGAAAAAAAAATGCCACGTGCCCCTTTAAGAAAAAGTATCGGTAATTGGTATCGGTGAGTGAGTACCTGAGGGAAAGTACTTGTACTTGGTCTTTAAAAAAATGGTATCGGGACATCCCTAGTCACTATAATCTGTACAGGTACAGGGGTCACTTTTTCAGGGCTCTTTCCCCACCCTGTGTGACAGTGCCTGGTGCATAAGCACTTAATCACCAATCAACAGTATGTTATCACATTGCAGGAAGTGAAGGTAGACAAACACTACTGACTCATACCTGGGTGTTTTTCTTCACTCGTGGAGGCTGAAGAGAGTGCCAGGGAAACAAAGGAAAGGTGAGTATTAGCAACTAGGGAAAGTGGCAGATACAGGACATGAACGGTTGACACCATGCTCAAAAAAGGCAAACAGAAAACAAAGAACTAGTCACCAGTAATGCCTATAGGTTCCCTACAGCTTTTCCACTGTACTGACTTACCAAGCCTTCCACTGTACTGACTTACCAAGCCTTGTTCTGCACTGTGTCTCTTATGTGGAGGCCGCCAACTTGGCTTTGCTTCCTCATGTCAAACATACCCTTTTAATAACTGGTTATTTAGGAAGCAGCAGTCGAAGTTCAGAAAGCATAGCTTCACAGAATGAAAGAAAAAGTTTGGAGATCCTTGCACTGCAGGTGCAGTACAGGGTTCCCTTCAGCAGGGAGAACAGGGAGCAGCCCAATAGTGGCATCTCACCTATGCCAAAATCCTGTGAGACCATCAGTCAGAGGCACGGAGAACGTCAAACTGCCGATATACAGCACAACTACGTGACTTGAGGCTTGAGTGCCTGGAAAGACTCGCTTGCCAGTAGTGCACTGTTCTAGGTCAGGTATAATTCAAAACAAAAAAAGGTAAATCAATCAGAGTACTGCTCAGGCACAATTAACATTTCTAGATGTTCCCTATAAGACCACGAACCTTCACTTTTTAAAACAAACACAGTTCCACTTTTAAAAGAACCTGGTGCTAATATTTACAGCAACTCTGTTGCTAGTAAGAAAAAAAAAAAGCCTGATGAAGGGGTACTGCTGAGACCGCGAAAGCGCTTGTATGGATGGCAATTTGTCAATAAAGGACTTTTTGCTTCAAAACTTTTGGTGTGCTGGTGACAATCCTTTCTAGATCTGCATTGTTCACGGGGCCGTCCGTGGTCACTACAAGCACCCACCTGCTTGGCAGGTTTACTACTATTACGGTAAGGAGTGCAGCTGGTTCTTGACTACATGTATTCCAAAGCTCTGTATGTCACAAGCTACAGCTTGCGGTATACTGAGACCGCCGCAGCCGGGACGGATCCTGACATTGCTGTCGAGATCCACCCAGCAGCAGTCTAGCTTCTCCCGTGACCCAAAGCTCAGTATGAGACCGCAACAGCCAGGACGGATCCTAACATTGCTGTCGAGATCCACCCAGCTGTGTGAGAGAAGTGAGCGACGGTATGTGTTCGCTCACTTCGCGATCTATTGAGCTGACGTGTGACAAGTTTCATTGTCACACATCTGCGTGAACTATGAGGCTGAGTGATTTTCTCCTTAAAAAATAAGGAGCAAGGTCATTTTTTGGGGCCATGGTGTCACTTTTAATATCAGCTAAAAGGGTATAAAGAAATTAATAAATTGTGCTGCTGTAGGGAAAAATATTTTACCACACAACCTCCTGATCTGTTTGCACATGACCACCATACGTTTAGAAACAGACAAGCAAACAGGCAACAAGCTGCACGAATAGTGATCATTCTACCTGGAGATGGTTTCTTGTATCAGGCGATCGCTCATTATCCAAACTATTCGCTCGTTCGTTCTGCGGTCTTGATGTCTGCCGTTCCTTTAAAGAAGTACTCCTACCACGGCGTCCGGTTTGCTTTCCTTCCAAACTGCAACAAAATAATCTATGTTATATAATTTTCCTCAATGCAAAAGGTATAACAATTCAGATCAGTAAATCAGGCTATTTAAGAAAGGACAGCAGCTGGTACAATATAGCACACTTGTAAAAAAAAAAAAGGTTACATTCCTGCACATTTCTGTAAAAACTAGCATATCTTTACCGAGTAGAGGGAATGATCAATGATTCAGTCTTGGTTATCTTTCCACTGGGTGGTAACCGTTCAATGAAAACATCCAATGTGGAAAGTTCGGTGTCCTGAGGCTCTTCTCCAGAATTATCCTTGAATAATAAGGAATAATGACACTAGTATTAATACTCACATCATTGAATACATTGTAATCACAAAAACCTTAAAATTATAAAGTGCAAGCTAATCTTGCTGATCTCTAGAGTTTAAACCTGAAAAAGGTTCTAAGCCTTTCTCTAGTTACCAATAAATAACACGTAATACTCAAAAGGATTATTCACAAAGCTGCTGAAGGCAGCCGAGTAAACAACCGCCCTGAAGTGAAGCGAACGCTGGTCGGCTATTCACGTCAGGCTTGTAGGCTGATTTCAGCTGTACATCGGCTTGCTTCGGCTGGCTTCACTTCGGCCGAACATGCTCAGTATGTTCGGCTGAACCGAAGGAGTTCGACTCAGCCGATCCAACATGTGGATCGGCTGAGCCGAACCTCCGGCAAGCTACTCGCTGCTGTTCGGCCTATTCTCATAGGGGCCGAAAGGTAGTAAGTGAATAGCCGAGCGGCATTCGGCTCAGCTATTCTGCTCGGTACCACCGTGGTACCAAGCAGAATAAACAGTGCAAAAAGAAAAGAAAAAAAAAGTAGAATTTTTTTTTTTTAAAAAGGTAAATAAAATGATAAATCTTAAAAAAAATCTACAAAGATCTTTTTAAAAATGTAAATAAATATAGATCATGGGAAAAAAAAGAAAAATTCAAAGAAACTATTTTTGCAGACCCAGCAGTGACAGATAGCTCCGCCCAACTGTTTGCTATTGGCCAGGATCTGCTAGAGTCTTCTAGTAGGTCCCAGCCAATAAACAACAACTGGGCGGAGCCGGCCGTGTCACGGCCGACTCCTCCAAGTTGTAATTGTTTAATGACAGTTCAACGTCCCCATGTAACATGGGGATGCTGATCTGTCAGTGCAACTGGGCGGAACCAGTCGTGAGATCACGGCTGGCTCCGCCCAGCTGTCAGTTGCAAGGCTTTCAGCCAGCCAATGCATATGCCTTTGGCTCGGCTGAGCCGCTTGGCCAGCTTCGGGAGCTGTACGGGCTATAGTAAGAAAAAAAACAAAAAACACTCTTGCTAAGAAATAATACCTAGTAGCAATGTTTTCCTGAAATTCTGACATTTATGCAGTTAGTCTAGCAGTGTAGGAGCACTTAGACTTTCTTTGTCACTGGTCATTACTATAGAGTTCAGATATTCCTTACCAATGAAACGGTGTCAGATATGTTGTCCGGATGCTTTGGAAGAGAGGCCTTTCTTTCAGGTATTTCAATCTAAGAAGAAATATTGAAATGTAATGGACCATGAAAATAATAGGAATTGGTAATATGCAACAACAACAACAAAAATAAAAATACCAGTGCCACTGCTACCTGTATGCTGTATTACCAACAAACTTTTATGTGATGCTGTGACTCCAATGTGGATTGAGTAAGGTGATATTAAAGTGACACTAAACTCAGGAGTTAAATCTTAAAAATGCATTCAAGTACCTTAACTATTAACAAAAATGTACCTCATTCGTGTTTTACTCAGCTGTAGATTCTCAAATCATCTCTGAATTGGTGCTGACACTGTCCTTCAATCTGGATGGACTATAATCTCAATGAGATTATAGTCCATCACAGGAGTGAGCTTGGAGCAGTGGCTACTTTACAACACACACAGGGACCATAGGGAACAAAAGTAGTAATGCTCTAGAAAGGACAGGGTCAGCATGAACTCAGGGATGGTTTGAGGATCTACATCTGAGTGATAGACAAATAAGATACCTTACTGTTAGTAGTTGGGGTACTTTAATGCATTTTTAAGATTTAACTCCTGGGTTCAGTGTCACTTTAAAGTCAAAACGTTTTTTAGCTATGTCAAATGCGGATGAAATCACTTTAAAAGTCTTAGTTTCTTGCAGAATAAGCTAGTCCCCTGAGCACTGGTCCTGATATCCTGTTTTAGGGTGACTCCTTTCCCTTGCAGGTTGATAGTTGCTTCAGGCTCTGTCTCTTGTAAAGGACATGAAGTGTCGGGGAGGTGGAACAGAGAGAGTTGGAGCCAGCTGTTCGGAAACATGATTGTAAGTGCTTGGGTAAAAATGTAAAGAAATACTTTGCTGGGCCATGTATATATTTGTTTAATCTAGATCCATTATTGAAAAAAAGGTTTGAGCGTTTAATACTACTTTAACCACTTGCTGACCGGGGTGTTGATACCCCCTTCCTGGCCAGACCATTTTTCAGTATTTAGCGCTGCAGTTCTTTGACATTTATTCCGTCATGCAACGCTGTACTGAAATTAATTTTATACCATTTTTTAGGGACAGATAGAGCTTTCTTTTGGTGGTATTTAATCACCACTACGGGTTTTTTTTTTTACTATATGAAAAAAGTACAGAAAATTTTGAAAAAAAACCTGTTCTAAAAGACGGGTCACGTCGGGTAAATAGACACCAAATATGTCAAGCTTTAAAATTGTACGCACCCACTAAATCGCAAAAGAACTACCATACCCAAAATTGACCATAGCCGGCGCTTTAAAAGCTTTTACCGCTCATCAGTTTAGTGTTATCAGTGATTAATGGCCCTAGAATTATTGCTCTTACTCCGACGTTCGCGGCGATAGGTAACAGGTGGCGCGGCCATATGCAACAATGGATCTAATCGTCGTTTTCACACATGGGCGGACTCGATGCATGCTTGCGTTTGCATGTGGGGGCGGGGGACTTTAATTTTTTTATTTCAATTTTTTTATTGCTTTCATATGTTACTTTTAATTTTTTTTGTAACTAATTTTTTTTAAACTTTTTTTTTTCCACTTAACTTTATTGCTATCACATAGGGAGCAAACAAGCTCAATATGTGATAGGCAATTTGCAGTGACAGGTCCTCTTTATGGAGACATCAGGGGTCTTTAAGACCCCTAATGTCACCTAGGGACCCCCAGAGAAGCTGATGAAGCAGAGACCTGCTTCACCAGCTTCTCTCCGGTTTCTGTACCGGAGAGTGGCAGAGGAATGTGGAAGTGATGTAATACACATCACTTCCTGCATTCCGAAGAGAGAGTCTCCGGCCGCAGAGCTGCTGTGATGGTCCCGGGCTCACACCAGGAGCAGCGGAGCCTGGGATCACCAGCACCGGCTGTGGCGGAGGGGGTGCACACCCGCACGCAATTACAAGCGATCGGGCGTCTCTAAAGACGCCTGAACGCTTGTATGTAAACAGCCATCGCTGGCTGTTTACATTGAAAGCTGATTCCGCGGGCACGAACGGGGCGGGATGGGACGTTTAAAAACGCCAACCCGCGTTCAAGAAGCCACTGTCACATTTCATAGCTGTTGCTATGAAATGTGACAATGCCAGGGGAATGTCTCAAGCTGGCCATACACAATTAGTACCAAGTTTAACCATATCACTAGGCGTTGCCCAGCACATGAGGATGATCCAGGCGTAATGTTCAGGACGAGGCTTGGCAATGAGCCTGTATAAAATAACATATAGAGCATAACTTAAAGACATTTCCCTTTCAGGGACTCTGTTGCAAGCTTGTACTGAAGAGCATTGCTATGGCCCGGAAACAGAGGTCCGGTGGTCCGAAAAAACCTACAAGAGGAAGACCAAAGAAGTGGTAGGGAGAAAGGAATAGGGGAAGGAAAAGAAGGAGAGCCAGGGGAAGGAAAAGAAGGAGAGCCAAGTAAAAGCATAGGAATGAAAAGAAGCTAGGTGAAAAGGATCTGTACAGAGAAGAAAAGAAAAGCAGACGAAGAGTGAAAGCACATGAGGTGGGAGAGATGGGGCATCAACCAAGCTAACATTAATTCCAATCTTTCAAAGGAGCAATCCATACTGATAGGCTGCAAAGTGATATATAATATATATGAGCTCATGTCAGGGTTCTGTAATCCTCCGAGTCAAGAAACAACAGCCATGGTCTCCATCTTTCCATAAAAATGGTGTGGCGATCAGAACGTTGAGCTATCAGTTCCTCTGACCACATCATTGAGCACATTTCTGCAGACCATTTCTGGATTGAGGGGGTAGCTGTCGAGTTCCAATATCTAGGAATCAAGGCCCTCACAGCATTAATAAAAAAGAGAAGCAGAGATTTTTTTATACTAGAGATGGAGCCTGGGAGTATAGACAGTAGGGCCACCTGAGGGGTCAGGATAAGATTCACAGCTGTCACCTTGGCGTACACATGCGAGACTCTTTGCCAAAGCGGCTCGATCAATGGGCAGCTCCACCACATATGCGTCATAGTGCCAACAGCATTCTGGCATCTCAAGCAGAGGTCGGAATTTGCAGGGTCAATTTGGAGAAGCCTGACCGGAGAACGATACCAGCGGGACAGAAGCTTAAAGTTACTTGTGCCGCAGAGGCCATGCATAGTGAGTAAGGCATAAACATTTGGCACGGTCAGCTTCTGAAATAGTCACACCTAGCTCCCCTTCCCAAGCTGAGAAATAGGAGTGTCGGTGATCAGAGGAAAGCAATAGGCTATGCAAAAGAGAGACCAGATGTGTGGGGGTGGGTTCGGAGGTGCACAGTTGTTCAAAAGCAGTTAATGGGCGGTAAAGTTGGTTTTGTCTAGCTAGGACCAGCACAAAATGTCTTAATTGTAGGAATGAATACTAGTATCTAGAGGGAGGGTTCTCAGCACCTAATATTTGAGAAAGGGACAACATCCCCCCATTTCCAAGATATTGGTGAATGTATGAGGGATCCATAGATCGCCATCATAAAAAGGTGAGTCCCACATCCCGGGGGGGTGGGGGGAGGATGACCCATTACAGGCGTCAGGGGCCCATAGCTTTAACAGCGGTTTAAAACTTACTTGCATCTTCCCCCCCATTCGCGAGCGTCCGAAAATGGGAACATTCTTGGGTGGCCGCAAAGCATCTTGGGGCGGGCGCATGCGCAGTTCACATTTTCGGCCGGGACGCGAGGAGAGACACAAGGTAAGTATATGGACGCGTACACCCGCATGCAGACACCATGGGACAGGAAGTGCCAGCAAGCTCAGAGGAGTCAGCGCTGGATCGGAGACTTGCCGTAGCGCTGGAGAGAAGGCTGAAAACTACAGGAAAGAAGAAAATGATGATCGGATTAAGAGACATCATTTAAAGGTGGTTTCATTAATGTTTGGGGGTTAGGGGAAAAAAAATTTGCACTGGCAAATCAATCACGGCTGTATCAAAGGCCTGCAGAACATCTCCCACACCCAGCATGTCTCAGTTTCCCAGCAAGCAGTGCATCACAAAAAACAGGGACATAAGTCCTATGATGTAATCCAAGAATTGGATTTTACAGGCAAGACAAACATTTTGTTTTCTTGATCGTACATCACATGACACGAGGAGTTAAAAACTCTTTAACCAGTGTGATATTCAAAAGTATAAACATCTGAAAAAAACAAAAATTCCAGTGATTAAAGAATATTTCATACAGATTATGGTAGGGAAAGTATAGGGCAAATGTTTTTTTTTTGTCCAGCATTTTATATAAACCTCTTGCGGCCTGCTCCTGGGGTATGTTTAAGGGTATGTTATGACTGGGAGTCAAAGGCAAGCGCATCATGAGATCGCTGTGAATGGCTATTCTAGCTCTTACATGGTAGGGAGCCTGTCCTAATGGCTCCCAATGGTAAACTGTAACCAGGATTTGTTGTTGGCAGCCCAATCCTTGTGATGGGAGCAAGCTAGCATGTCAGCTCTAGAGCCCACCCATCAGTGTAAAGCATATATATGTTACACCAGGGGGTCATCTAAACTAAACTTACGAACAGAAAATGTCAAATTCTTAATAAAAAGCAAACTTTAAAAAAATCCAAGGTCTAGGTCACAATAACTTACATCAGTGTTTGTTGATTGGGAGTTGTCACGATGCGGTCTCTCTGTGTGGACGGTACTGTGCTGTAAATACAGAAAGCAAAAATATATATGTTTGAATGGAAAAACAAAAGTTATGTTTACAAATAATAAACATGCAAAATCTTGAAGACAGTTAAAACTTCCTACAATTATTAGTAGAAAACCATAAGAACAGATATGGAATTCTATTTGTTTTTACCATTTATAAATACAAACCAAAAATAGGAAAAAAGTTACAAGAATACATTTAAACAATCACTAAACAAAAGCAGAACAAAAAAAAACCAAAAAAACAAAAATATGGAGAAAAGTGCACCAAGGCTATGTGCTGTCTGCATCAGAGTAAGGACACCCGGACCCGCACGATGTGCGTATGACCGCATCCTCCCATAGGTAAGAACAGGCTGCTACATGCAGCACCTGTCCCTCCCGGGAATGGCCCGATATGGGCGTGCAGTCACACGGACCTGTACGCCCCGAGCTATCGCAGTGTGAATGAGGCTTAAAAGGAGAACTATGAGGCGAGTGAAAATCCCTCAGCCTCATAGTTCGAGCCCATGTGTGACAATGAAACTCACACGTCGGCTCAATAGATCAGGAAGTGAGTGAACACATACCGTCGCTCGCTCACTTCTCGATCCTGTCGCTGTAGAGAGCCGTGGCTGTCACTCACAGCTCCCTGCAGTGATTCCCCCCCTCTCCGATCCTCCAGCGCTGACTAACGGAACGGACGGGGAGGGGGCGGGTACAGCTGGCTCTGTCTCTAGATAGGCAGAGCCAGCTGTCAATCATGCAGCGATTGTCTTTTTAAATTTTGTTTGATTTTCATTTTTAAATTAACATTTCATTTTGGAATGAATGGAGTTTTTGGAACGAATCCACAATTACTGATAAAAATTTCCTTGGATCAGGAAAAATTTTCCAACAGGTTCCTTCTAATTTTTTCATCACACCGGTCGAGGCCAATTATCGATCTCACTGCATCAACGTTCAGAGAGTCGAACAAACGTTCTAAAATCTATTTTCTTCTTAATTCTAACCGTGTATACCCTTACTTAAGCAGTAGGGAGAGTAAAGTTCAGTCTCCCTCACTGCTCCATTAAGATACTGGTAAGTTGAGGAGAGCGAGAGAGCGAGAGAAATACAGAATATGCATGCAAATAGACATTTTCATCATGGAATATTACGCAAGTGCTAAACTCAGCAGATTAAGTCTTTTCAACAGATGAAGCTACTTACAGGGCCTGGTAATTCTTTATGACTTCTCATACTGTGCAAACTGCCAATTTCTGTTTGAGAGCTGGAGTGTGAAAGACCCTCAAAATAAGGCCTACAGGAAAAATAGAATAATAATAAAAAAAAGAAGGTTAGAAAATGAAATGAAAAGGAATGTTTGAAAAAAAAAAAAAAAAAGTGTTACTTCACAAGGATACAGCCAGAAAAAAAAATAGAAATCTCTGTTTGAATTTTAGCTGAAAAGATGCACTACAGAAGGGTTACATATGCAACTACATAAAAGCTTACAAATCTAGACTTTGACAAAGGCCAAATTGAGCTGGCTAGACGACTGGGTCAGAGCAATTCCAGAAAACTGCAGCTCTTGTGGGATGTTCCCAGTCTGCAGCTGTAAGGACCTACCAAAACTGGTCCAAGGAAGGAAAAGCTGGTAAACCGGCAACAGGGTCATGGGCAGCCAAGGTTCACAGATGCATGTGGGCAGCGAAATATGGCTTGTGTAAACCTATCCAATAGAAGAGCTACTGAAGCTCAAATTGCTGAAAACGTTCATGCTGTTTTTGACAGAAAGGTGTCTAAACATACAGTGCATTGCAGTTTGTTGCGTATGGGGCTGGTCATCTGCAGACCAGTCAGGGGGTCTGTGTCTAATGCTAATATGGACGCGAGCATCAGAACCGGACCATGGAGCAAAGGAAGGAGGCCTGGTCTGATAAATCACGCTTTCTTTTAAATCATGTGGATGGCTGGGTGCATGTGTGTGTCACTGAGCTGGGGACCGGGTCATGATGTTGCACTGATGAAGGGACCCTGCGTGGCCCCGAAACGTTGGCTTCTTGAGGCATGTGACATATCAATAAATGTGCTATCCTTCTTGCACATTACAAGTGAGTGCTGGTGACTACTATCTTTACTGACCTGGAGAAGAGACAGCACCAGAATGCACTATGGGAAGAAGGCAAGCTGGTGGAGGCAGCGTGATGCTTTGGGCAAAGTTCTGCTGGAAAACCTTGGGTCCTGCCATTTATGTGGATGTTACTTTGACACGTACCACTTACCTAAACATTGCTGCTAACCAAGTACACCACTTAATGGAAATGGTATTCCCTGATGGTAGTGGCCTCTTTCAGCAGGATCATATGCCCTGCCCCACTTTTTACACTCCAATTCAAGGAAATTAATCAGCAGTGGCTGCAAAAAGCTGACTGCTTCACTACATGGTCCCACTTTACGACACCCCATGTCCAATGGTATTCTACAGGTTACAGCCAATACTAGCCCTAGTAAAATTTAGACCTTTTTTGCCTTTACCTATTCTACTTATTACTTGTATTGCCTTCTACATTTTCCTCCTAATGCCAACACCATCCCTTTCCTACCTATGATTTTGCACAGTAATAGGTAGCTGCCTAACCGGAATATGTAGATTGGCTCATAAATGCCTAATGTTAAAGAACTGGTACAAAGCACACATTGTTAAAAACATATTCAGGGCTGAATTATTTTACTACGGCAGCACTTTACACATAGCTTCCACTTTCCTAGAGGCATAGTGCCACACAATATACATTTTCTGGGAAAAGATGCTTACAGCTACAACTGCAAATATTTTCCATCCCAAGACAAAAAAGGCTTTATGATGCGCACAGTTATCAAGTTCAGCCATTATTTTGGCCAGATCTGGAAACAATGCAATTGTCCTTATGGCACCATGAGACTGGCAGCAAAACAATGGTTGCTAAAGTAAGAAGTGATCAAACGAATTGGAAAATATTGTTGCATTGCTCTTCTGTTCCCGTTCATAAGCGGTCAATGGAGAGGTCTGCAGTGTGCCTTACCCATTTCTTTTCATAAGATAAACATGAATGTGACTACCATAGATGCCTAAGAGTGTTCAGGCCATGCCTGCATATCTGCTGCCCTCTAGTGTCCATCATTTCTTTAGCTATTTCAAATGCTTAAAAACAATCAAGACAACAAGGAAACCAATAATACCAAATCAGACCAACAATAAGATTTCTGCCCTAACATACAATATCAGCTAACTCAAAACTGACAGTTTCAGTGATTTTTTTTGTGTGTGTGAGCAATGAAGAATGATTATCCTTCTCACTTTAACTTTGGCTTGGGCGTGCTGAGTACGCTGTCATCGTCTTCCATTTCTGGGCCGCTATCACTTGGATTGTCAATATCAAGTGTGTCATACAATAAGTCCATATCTTCCTCAACTTCTGGCGCATGTTCCCCTGGGTCCTGCTCAGAGTCGAGTACCTAGGAACAAAAACACAGAAAAAAAAAACAAAAAACGTAAAGTCACTCAGAAAGGGGTCGAAATGAGCATTCCTAAGAAAGCATCTACCAACACAGCCACACTCGCCATATAGAATGTACGAAGTGTGGATAGAAGACTAAATTTCAGCTTTACAAACCTGGGAGACCAAAGCTTTCTGATGGCTCTGGAGGCACTAACTGCTCTGGTAAAGTTAGAAGTGACCAGAAAAGATGGATCTTCTATTCTTCAGAGTATAAGCCTGAGAAATGTCCTGCCGAATCCATTGAAATATGATTTAACAAGAAGCCAAAGCAGTCTTTTGGCAATCAACTGGAACAATGAATAGGGAATCTGACTTTCGGAAGTAAGCAGCAATACATAGATACAGTACACTCTGGCAACTTGGGTAAAACATTTTGCCCAGGTCTTATAATCCTTGTGCAAAACAAAGAACTGGCACTTGCATGACAAAGCAGTAAGCTCCACAACCCTCCTTGCCAAGGTAATAGCTAAAGAAAAGGCCAATGTCTGAGACAAACTCAACAGATAATACTAGGGGGAGTGAAGACATCTAAAAAGGACCAAGTTGAAGTGCCACAGCTAAAAAGACCACATGGGAGGAACAATGTGAGTCACTCCCTGAACAAAGTACAGGCCAAAAAATGGTTAGCTAGATGCCAAGGGAAAATAGTCAAGGGCAAGCATGTGCTTTGATGGTGGCCAGAAACAAGTGCTGGTCTACCCCCATCTGTACCCTACTGATGATAAATAAAAAAGGGTTCAAACTAAGAGACTCAAACAACTTGAGGTAAGCCTTCAAATTGTAATGGTAGACCTTATGAGAAAGATGACTTGGGGGCCTTGAACATGATCGGATGGACAGCCTCAGAAAGCCTTCTGTCTCAACACATGTGAGACTTTAGTCATTGAGAAGCAGGTATGGACAATGGAACCCATTCTATCTAGCAGTCTCTGAGCAGATGAACTAGGTCCAAGTACCAAGCAATTGCAGGCCAATCTGGATAGATAAGGATGATGGAGGAAACCTTCTACTTTTATCCTCAGCAGATGCCAGGGAAAACACATAAGATTAATGCGTTAGATCCCACGCACCATTAAAAAAAAACTGGCACCTGCCAGAGGATCCTTGTATTCTGCAACAAAGCCTGTGCAGTTCCCTGTTCAAACAGAACACCATCAGATCCACAGCTAGCCTTCTCCACTGAAACATCTCTTGCTGCAGACATAGTGTCCAAGATAGAGACACTAGCAACTTGTTTGTTTTCCAGAGAATGTGCACCATGTAGAAGGGGTCTTGGTGAATCAGGTTTTGCTGGAACGTTTGCACTCCTCTAAGGACCAATGACCACCACCCCACCAGGGTGCCCAGATTTTCACAACAGCTGAAGAGGTTCATGTCCCTTGTGAGAACTTTCCACCAAAGAGGTGTTGGTTATGTGTTTAGATGAAGCACTGAGATCTTGAGGAATGCTGAATTACGTTTTACTTGCTTAGAAGAACGTTAACTGCTTGTCAGGAGCAGGGCTGAATGTACAAAAAAACTACTCACCAAGGCACCAGAAACTGCATGTCCCGGACGTCCGGTGATAGGTATTCACTCCATAAGACGCAGGCACATTTTCCCCCTCCTTTTGGGGGGGAAAAAAGTGTGTCTTATGTAGGGATGCACCGATACAAGCATCGGTATTGGCGGCGATACCGAGTATTTGCATGAGTACTCGTGCAAATACTCAGATACAAAAAGTGGAAGTAAAAGTTAGCAGTTACATTATTACACTTTTTTTTCTTATTTGTGTGCTCATTACCAGCGGCTGCATTTTATTACTGGTCGATATGTTGCACCTCTTTTATTAGTAGAGAATTATGTGCAGAACTGATTTTACAGTGTTTTTGACACATAACATGACACAAGTACACCAGCATGGTTCTAGTCATACATCCTACACTATCCCTCTTATCGTTTTGAAATGAATCCTTCAAATGGAAACGCAGGTGTGTACAACACTGTGCCAGTGTTTCAGGTTTCCATTCAACCCTGTACACACATTCCTTCACAGCACCTCACATATATGTCCTGTAGAAAGACATCAATAGCTGCATATATAAACCATTTTAAGACACCAGAACAGCAGACTTCACTCATTGCCATGGGACCCTCTGCTGGTGTTGAGCACTTTAAGGCAAAGGCTTACAGGAGCCAATCTCACGTTTAGTTTATCAATTTGTTTTGACATTGTAGTCCATCACAGGAGTGAGCTTGGAGCGGTGGCTACTTTGCAACACACACAGGGACCATGGGGAACAAAAGTAGCCACCCTCCAGAAGGAAGGACAGTGTCAGCACCAAGTCAGAGATTATTTTAGGATCTACAGCAGAGCGATACATTTTTGATAATAGATCAGGAAAATCTATTTTCAAGATTTAACTCCTGAGTTGTGTCACTTAAATGCGGTCTGTCCCAGTTGAGTACATTCACCCTCTTTGTCATGATCATCTTTTACACCGAGACAAAGTGATGGAAACATTTTGCAGTTGTCCCTGGAACAGCAGGTGATGAGAATGGCCGGTACTTGTGTGAGGGGCCCAGGCGGCCGAGGTCTGACAGACGCTGGGAGGTGAGAGACACACTGACCGACGCTAGAGATTCCCAAAAATGGTACTAGGTCTTATTTTCGGGCTAGGCCTTATTTTAGGGGAAACAGGGTATGATGCTCTGACTTTCTAGAGGCTTTCTTATTTCCAGTTGTGCCTCGGTGACAGGAAGTAAAGTTACATCTCCCCAATGGGATACAGAAGGCGAAAAGAAAAAACAAAACTAGCCCTTATTCTATAAATGCACTTTGCCACCAGTAGAGAAATAAAAATACAATCAGGCTTCTGCATTGTTATTTGTGCTCTCTAGCAGAGCTGCGTAAATATCAGGAATGAACAGGAGAAACTCAAATGTTTTTGCAGCTCCCTTAAATGTTTTTAATCCGTTAATCTGTGCATAAATGTACCCAAGTAATTTCCGCTGTATTTGCTGAAGTGAAAAAATAGCCTTGTGAAAATGACCTACAGGTGACCTGCTTCAGATGCTTTGAATCTCTATAGACTTGTATGGGGAGAAGAGCAGTTCTCAAGCAAACCAAAGTATGACGACACAGCTGAACATTTATTTTGCTAAAGCATTGTGTATAATAATCAATTGCCTTTTTTTTTTAGCAAACTTTAACAAAATGCCTATTTTTACCTTTTTGGTTTATTCTTTTTTGGATCTTAGTGCTGCGGATTCACTGCAGCCTCTGTTATTTCCTGTCTATATGTTATCCAGTGATGGCTGCATGGCAACAGTGAATCATGGCTTTGTTATTCATGTTGAAATAGCCACTTGTAATGGTCACCAGAAGTCTGTGTGGCAACATCGGAAGACAGAGATAGAGTGTTGTCACTTGACAACAGGAAGTGCCTTAACAAATTGCTTCACGGCAGGATCATCAATTGTTATTTTAGTTAAAGTTGCAGATTTAGGAATATTGAACATGACTTGAAATAGGAGATTCTAGTGATTGTAATTATGGAATAGAAGCATCAGATGGCCTTGTTTTTGTTTTTCTCATCTTACTACGTTTCAAAGCTGTTCATGGATGTTGTGCCTTTCCTCTGGACAAAATATAGCAGAGTTATGTTCCAGTATGTTTTGCTGAAGTTATTTTTATAGCTCGGGGGTCAGCTCTAACTTAATCCTTACTGCACTTTAAGGAGAACTATGGCCTCCCATCAAAAAGAAAAAATGTGCTACAGCACTTCTACACTTACAATTTTCTCTTAGTTTCCAAGCAAAGTTCCACAGATACCTGTTGATGCTGCCAGTGAAGTCTTCCTAATGCGGCTTCCTGTCATGATGTGGCAACAGTGCTGCACTGCTCCAAAATGCACAGCAGATTTGCCCTTCTCGTGTAGGCTGAGCCTACTTTCAATACAGTGGGATGAAAAAATGGCTTTAGTAGGCATGGCCCTTCACTGCTGACTATAGCTTGTCAATCAGTACCTGCCCACTGACTTACGGATTGACAGCATTACCTCTTTTGCTAAAACACGGCAACTCTGAGCTGCACTGTGTGAGAGGGGAGGAGAGTGAGACAAACATTGAGGACCTGGCTCAGTCAAGGAATGTAGGAGGAATTCATTTGTTTACTTTAAGAGGCTTGTACAGCACACAGTAAGTGGACTTGGTACTTCTTTAGACTGTCATACAGGAGCATTTAGTTGCACTTGAATGAAGCTACAACTTGACAGACCCTACCCCTTGCCATCCAACAATGCAATGAGAACATTATTACTGTCTACTGAGGTGTTCTGATTAAAAAGTGGTGGCGGTATAACCTTGGTGTGTAATGAAATCAAGGAACCAGTGACAGTTGAGCCAAGGTCAGGTGGCACACTGGGCACAGCAGGTGAGCTGTTCAATTTAGTAAGGTAAATTAAAAGTATGCTGGGAATATGAATGAAAATGTATGTTAGACGTATAGTGTACGTATCTGCTGCAGTTGTAGCTGAATCTTAAATCTTTTACATCAATAATTGTTAGGCTTAAAGGAGAACTATGAGGTAATCAATAGATCGGGAAGTGAGCGAACACATACCGTCGCTCGCTTCTCAATCATCTCCCTGCAGAGAGCCGTGACTGTCACTCACGGCTCCCTGCAGGGATTCCCCCACCTCCCCGCTACGATCCTCCAGCGCTGACTGGAGGAACGGACGGGGAGGGGACGGGTACAGCTGGTTTTGCCTCTAGATAGGCAAAACCCGCTGTCACTTATACAGCTGGGTGGATCTCAATGGTAATGTCGGAATCCGTCCCTGCTACCTCAGTATACCGCGGGCTGTAGCTCGCAATATACTGAGCTTTGGGTCACGGGAGGAGGTTGGTATATGTCCTTCTGTGACCCTTAAGAGAACTATGGGGAAAAACTCTTACCCCATAGGTCTAGTTTAATGAGCCATTTACAGCACAATGTGCAGAGAAAAATTGTGCAACACATAATATTTGAGTGTTTGCATTACATTTTCTAACGACTGTTGGGGCAATAAAAGAAAAAAAAACTGCAAACATTTCTATGATAACAATTGTCTATATTGCAATTATCAGCAGTTACAACCTATATATACACAGATACTATAACAAAAACATTGAAAAGGGTAGCAACAATTTGACTTGACTAGTGATAAGCTTAGCAGTGGGAAACTTTGCAACAAGCATTAAATCATTAATTCGATGTTATTCCACTAGGAACAATGTGAATGTATTGTTTTAATTGATAATCTATGTGTGAATATGCTGTGATCTATCTATAAGAATAAAATTTCAAATCTTTAAGAAAAAAAAAAAAGCCCAATTTTCTTAACTGTAATAAAGCCAAAAGAACAATTCCTAAACCAGAACAGTTTTAAACACTGAAGGTGAATTTAAGGCAAATATACATACAAACCCACAACTGTATAATAGAGTAATGCATTTAGTAAACGGTTGTGTGTTCACTAAAAGTATTTTGACATTTGTATTTGAATTTGTCTTGAAATCGTTTTTCTGTAATCACACAATAGCACTGTAGCTTGGTATGGGGATGTTCAATACTTTAAGTCTTTAGATCTCTAAACACTTTACACAGTGCTCGTCAGCGTAGGAATTACGATATACAGGAGTATCAAACACTGGAATGACCTCATACGTGTGCTGCTGCTCTTTCATGGTTTAATCAGAAGGCCACAGGGCAGATATAACTAGGGAAGAACTTAAGCAACCGTTTTTTTCCTAGAATTACCTTTCAGATTAAAAATGAAAACGTTAATGTTGAAACATGAACAAAGGATGCTTGAAGCTATAAGAATATGGTCGGGCATGCAGGATTTTTTCCCGGAGACATAACCTCAGCCACTAAAGCCAACTGTTCCAGTTCTGGAATTATTCTCATAATTACCGTGTCGTTTTAGACGTACATAAACATCAACATTTAAAAAAAGACATAATTCTCCAGTAAGTATTACAATGTATTACACAATATTAGCCATTTCAAGTAAATTTGTGACTTCCAACATAAAACTAAACAAACACTCTGCAAAAAGTAAAAAATTACAATGGTGAACATAGGGTGATCAATTATTCCCTCCCACTTTAAAATGACAGTTGGAGGTACACTGAGGGATACCCATGGTCAATATACCTAGGGTTCCTCTAGGAATAGGATATGCAATATCACCTTTCATCTATATTAGCGTGACAAGGGAGAACAAGTATCACAGGTCTATTTATACATGATTGCCTCAACAAGTACCCTTAAAAATGAACAGAGGTAGATAGAGGTAGAGGGAACCAAATAAACAGAAATATTTAGATGACTAATCTCAAGGGGGAAAAGGATACAGACAGGCTGGATTTTTCAGTCAATAGTCTACTGTGCTCCCCAAAAAAAAAAAATATATATATTGACAGAGGTGTCTGCTGCACAAACAAAAAAAAGACAGGTACTGTATGCATGTAGGATATACCGTATTTTGCGGTCCATAGGACGCAGGGAGGTCCGGCGCGCCTTATGGAGCACTCGACAGACTAGCTTCTGTCACAGCTTCTATGACAGAAGCTGCAGTTAGTGACCGCTGAGACAGGTGGCGCTGTGATTACAGCGCCACGGTCTCAGTGATCCCACAGAGCAGACGAAGAAAGTCCGTTCTTCGTCTGCTCTATGGTGATCTCGATCGTCGCCGCTGCTCGGTTTTAATACGAGTGATCTCATTAGATCACTCGTATTCAACGAGCAGTGGCTCCTACTACTCACCCGGCGCCCGAAACTGCATGTCTCGGGCGTTGGGATTCGCTCCATAAGACGCAGGCACATTTTCCCCCTCCTTTTGGGGGGAAAAAAGTGCGTCTTATGGAGCGAAAAATACGGTAAGTACATGTCTACATATGTATCAGGGAAGATGTGTGTGATAGTAAGACCAGCAAGAAACATCCAAGCACTGTCTCCACAGCCGATAGATTTATGAATCTCTAAATAACTATAGAGCAAATAACCAGATTCCCTGTGAGGTTTTTGGGTTTCTGAATGCAGGGGATGCACCAGTCACCATAGAAGACGACATTTTCTGTGAGAATTTAAAAGGAACGGGAAACAAGTGCTAATTCGTATAAAATCAACTACAAAATACCACTGCAGTGTGCAACTACATCAACTAAATTAAGAAATGGGAGCATTGCACTGTTAAGATAACTTTGACTAATGATAGCACATCCACTTTAAGACAGGTTAATGGGACAGCAAAAGTGACAGTGATACAGCATAATTGCTCACCCAGTAGTTACTAAACACACAGTCCAAGTTAGTATAAGTAAATTAAACGGACCCGGGTTATAGACGTTGTTCTTACTATCGTTCTTCGCTGCTTCTTTGGTTTTCCAACATCAAATTCATCATCGTCAAGGTCCTGTTGGGAACACAAGCATCCATACATGATATCCCAACATCAATGTGGAAACAAGAATAAATAACATACATAAAAGTGAAATATCCGTTGTATCTCACCACTGGAGCCTCCAAAAGATATGACATTTTAGACATTGAAGAAGTTAATTTATATATTTGGATAAAAGTATTTTATTGTAGAGTACAAAAGTGAAACTTTTCCTGCAAAGATTTTAGCAAAATTTCAAAGCATATTCTTGTCTACGACTGTTCTGAATACATGACCATTCCCCATAACCTCCTCAAACGCAGTGGGAAAAACCGCCTGCTCTAGTCATCTGATCGTCCCCAGTGTTGTAATAAGAGAAACAATGGGGTGGATTGATCAATAATGTTGCATCATCAGCGTCTCTCAAACTGTCCTATCCCTCATTTCTAGTGCAGATAGGGACAGATCTATTATCCTAGTTTATCTTTCATTCCCAAATGCCTTCATAAAGGAGAATTGTATCAAAACTCTGTCTCTAACTGTGGCAAGCTTGCTGGGAACCTCCTGAATGACAGCGGAGGAGCTCAGCTAACTTGAGGGTACGAGTCCTTTTGCATCTTTGGTCAGGAGCACTTCTAGCATGTGTGTCTGTTTGTAGGTCTTTTCCTGTCGCAAATGCTGGACACAAATACTGTGCAGTTGAAATATTATGCAAAAAAGTCACAAAATATGTGCAGAGAGTTGCAAACATTAGGACCCCGTTCACATTGAGCGATTTATCGCGCGGTAATTCCCGCGATATCGCGGCAATTTACCGCGCGATATCGCTCTCCAATGCTTCTCAATGGGGCAAAGGGTCCTGCTGTCGCGGGTCGTGTGTCGCTACAGCAGGACCCTTTTTGGAGCGGATTTAGCCGCGATTCAAGCTTGCTCAAGGCAAGCATTTGCGCGATATCGCGCAAATCGCGCAACAAACGCGCGATTTGCGAACTGCTCAATGCGAACGGGCTCTAATATGACGCAATAAACACACACAAACAAAAAAAGCGCAACAGAGATAAAACTCTGCGTTTAGTTAGCATGACATTTTGGCATTTGCGCCTAAAAATCTTGTCGCAACTGCGTTCATGAATTGACACCCCCCCCCCAATGTATTCTCGGCACCCCTGAAGATGTATGGCCATATCATCAAAGAAAGAGAAAAAAAAATGCTCACTTAAGATGTCTGACAGATGGCTCTCACACAGCAATCTATTGTGAAAGGAAAGAGCATCCTAATCACCAGCCAGTACCATTGCAATCCAGTACCAGCCAGAACCAGTACCAGTGTCTGTACAGCCAGTACCAGGGTCGGTACAGCTAGTACTACTGCCATCCAGTACAAAAAGACCACCTGCCAGAACCTTAGCCCAGGTTCTCAGACTACCATATTGTTTGAAATTTCTAAACTCTATAGTCCTGTCCTAGTACTTTAAAGAAGTATGGGTAAACTTTTCTTAGCCAAGTGCTCGTTTTGATCGAAGTGCACAAATTAAGTTATACGTACCTTACCCTCACAGACAACTGGCTGCTAGAGCACTCCCTCCAACCCGTCTCCTCCACTGCTGCATCCATGGTATGTCCCTCGGCATTCCCACGGCCTATACGTGTTCAGTCTTTTTCTAACTGTACTGTTATGATCTTTAACATGCTACCTGAGGCCTGTAGAGTCCGAGATGTAACTCCACTTGGGAATAATCTTCCTCACTGTAGAATAGACTTTGTTAGACTTTGAATCGTTTGGAAATTAGACATGTAACCCCACAAAAAATTTGAATAGTTTCAAATCGATTGGGATTATTTATTTTGTTTTGGATGCGAAATTCAATTTGTTATTCAGATTTGATACCAGTCCAAATTTTTGTTTTGGAAAGATCAACAGAAGTCACATGATTGTGCCTGTAATGCTACCCCCAACTGCCAAAAAACCCATCTGATTGGTCCGAGAACAGTCACATGTCCGATTTAGTTTAGAACGAAATTCGAACAGATCTGAATTTTCAATAAAAGGAACATTCGGATTTGTTCACATTAGAATTTGGAAATTCTGAAGCATCCGAATATATTTAAGTTCATACGAATATCCGTTCGGAACTAAATGAAATGTATAGGTTTACTGGAAATGGCCTTACAACCCTTCCCAGTCTAATGGGCTGTGACAATTGCTTCACTAACACCATTGCTGATGTCTTGACTCCTTGTCATTGTAATAATGCACACCTGAATGCTCCAGACCAGCAAACTGCTAAAACTTCAGCTTTTGTAGAGGTGGTCACACTTGCTGACGTTCAATTCATCAAAGGTCATTTGATTAGCAGCACCTGGCTGCTACTTCATTACTATGGAGGCAGTAAGCCCTCGTTCACCTGAGTAACAGCCGGGCCCGTACAGATCCATGCTGCGTGCACGGCCTTATCGGGCAGCTTGTGGGAAGGACAGGTGCTGCGTGTGATTATACACAGCAGCCTGTTCTTCTCTATGGGAGTACAGGGCCCTACGCTCACCCGAACTGCAGTACAGTTGCCCGTACTCTTACGCAGACAGAATGGATCCGAGCAGGGACAACCGCACCCGTATGGACGTGCACTTCAGGTGAGCCTAGGGCAGCGTACGGCCCCGTACTCCCATAGAGAAGAACAGGCTGCTGCGTATAATCACATGCAGCACCTGTCCTTCCTGCGAGCTGCCCGATACAGCCGTGCACGCAACACAGATCTGTACGGGCCGGCGGTTACGAGTGTGAATCAGGGCTTACTGCCTCCATAGGAATTAAGTAGCAGCCATGTGTACTTAGTTTTTACACATTGTTTCTCCATTTTGGCTTTATGTGAACAATCACACAGTGTAATATGTCATGTGATGTTGCTCATCTGAGGTTGTTGTCACCTGTTCAGGACCAGAGGATTCATATTTGCCAATACTTAAAACTATAGAATTCAAAAGTGCATTTTCTTTTTCACACGACTGTAGTTGAAGGTCATATACAAGCTGAGGAGTCCGTGCGATGCTATATGATGGTTACATATACCTTGTACTAGGATGCTTCACAAGCTGCCTCCCCCGACCTCTTGCATTATGTATTTGAGTCTCAGCAGTGTCCCTAGAAGTTTGTGGAAATGTCACTTATTTGAAAAAGGTCATGTTCAAGCTCAAGAATCTTTTCGACACCTTATTTTAATAATTGTATAGTTGGGGGGATAAGGTTTTTGTACTTTTCTATACACTTTTGGGGTGTTTCTGGTTCTCATGGAGTGTGAGCTTGTGGATGTGGGAGGGCACATTTTAGGTTTTGGTTGGTTTTTTTTAAACCAACAAAAAGCCTTGGGACCAGGAATGGAGAACACAGATTTGTCTCACTTGTGTACAGTAAACAAGTTTAAATATTTATTCAAGGTATTTAAACAAACAAAAAAATCATATATTGCAGTTTACAAGTCCTTAAGTGTGGCAATAGCATTAGTTTCCTTTTGAAGGCACATTTTTTGCAAACACAAAAAAAAAACCTGTTTATTCTGTCAGAAATCTTACGTCCTTGTAAATTCCTGTGGACTGAACTGAAATATACAATGTTATCAGCTTTCTCAGCCATCTTTTGTGAACAAAGCAAAGGTCCTCTTACGCAAAGCGGTTGAGGGTGTTTTAGTTTAAAGCAGGAGAGCAGAGAAGGGTGAAAACAATACTTCTCCATAGAGACAGTTCAGTACATAAGTGTCCCCCTAGGACAGGAAGTGGGTTGTTAGCAGAATCACCAGGAGAAAATGAAAAGGTAAAAAAAAACCTGAAAAAAAAGGAAACTAATGTAGCCACTGGTAAAAGGTCAGTATATTACATGTAGGTTTTGGGTTTACATACACTTTAAACTGAATGTTCCAGAGGAGGTAGGGAGATTACCTGAAAGAGGGAGGTTGGGGGGGGGAGGAACTATCTTGGATACTACATTTTGCACCCAAACACTGAAAATGTTGCAGAAGTCTGCAAGCATCTGTCAGCATCTTCCCCACCCTGTTGGCCAAGGATTGGCATTGCAGGTCAGTCTAGGTCTGGGGCTTGCTGGTTTGAACCGCTTTGGGTGCACCTCCTGAGAGCAAAAAAGGTGCACTTGAAATGGACAAAAGAAAGGGGTGCCTTTATTTGCCAGGGCCCTAGGTTTACAGGTAGAAGGTGGTGACTGCTTTTCCTAGCACTACCAAGCTCCATAGTGTGCACAAAAATCCTGAAGAGATGCCCCCTGTAAAATTAGCTGGCTTAGGGATCTCTTAAGCTAGCCATACACACTACAAATTCAGCCCTGCAGCTCTTTTGCTGGGAATTTCAAACAAAACATAACACTGTTGAAAAAAGAAATGTGCTAGCATTTCTGTTAGTTGCATCAAGTTGTTATTCCAAGGGTCTTAGCAGGTGACATACAGTACTTGTCATGCAGGTATGATAAATGCTACAGTGATGTATACTCACATGGCCTTGAACAGCATCATCACTGGCTTCTTGTTCTGAAGAGAAACTTTCATACTCCTCCTCAGAATAGTTATCTAAGGCACAAATAACACATTTTTAACATTAGTTTTATTGTATGATGAATATTTTATTTCTATTTACGTGCTTGGTAAGGTGTCCTTTTTATCTTTTGAGTCACAATTAAAATTGAGTCAAAGAAACCCGGTTATGTTTCTAGAGGTTTGAATTTAGAAATCCCCTGCAATAGAAGAAATAGAAGAAGGAAAATACTCACCTGTATAGCAGCCTATTTTTCCTAACTTATTTCCATTCCAACACTACAGCCTAGGAAAGCCTCTTTAGCATTTAACACTTCAGGAAATGTCAAATGTCTGTCTCTCCCGCCACGTGCTGGTACCTTCCTCTGACCTATGTCATTGCAGAGTACTGTTGTGACGTAGAGGGGGCAGAGGAAGAAATCAGTACAAAAGCAAGATTCCCTGCACACTTGCCAGCTGCAAAAACACGGTATAACTTGTAGGGTTAAAACAGACATTTTAGTTGCACAACTTTTGCAAAATATGTGGAAGCCACACTGCCTCATCAAGGCCCCTCGGTGGAGTCTGGTCTTAACTGTAATCTATACGAGTCCCCATTGTGAAGCATATATAGCAAAGGATGAACTGGGTGCAAGTTCGCCAGGAGGCAGCTCATTTCTCCCTAAAGTTGGACAGTGTAATATATTTGCAGGCTGGCGAGTGTGCTGAGAAAGTTTTGCCTATGTACTGTGTAAAGCCCTTCCATGTGCACCTTGCTCCACAGCTTGTTATGAATCGATGAGTGCATTTGACATTTGTTTTGCTTGTTGGATTTGGTTTGGGGACACAGTGGGGCTTCAGCTGCCGTTGTGATGTGCAGGGCTTCTGGTGTGTCCCTGTGCCTTTAGGGAGGAATGAGCTGCTCCCTGGTGAACCTGCACCCCGTTCATGCTTTTCTATATATGCTTCAAAATGGAGGCTCTCATTGTATAGTGCGGTCCCAACTGTAATCTGAGGGGGCTTAATGAGGCAGTGTGCCTTCTACATATTTTGCAAAGCTTGTGCAACTAAAACGTCTGTTTTTAGCCCTAAAACAGACAGTAATTTTTTGCAGGCTAGCTGGTAAGTGTGCTGGGACATTTTTGTTTTTATACTGTGTGCAGCATAGCTGGGGGACACATGCATTTCCCACACTTCCAGGAGTATCAAAAATGCAGTACAGGCTTTTGCACTGGAACAAAAGTAGTAAAAGGGAAAAAAAAGGCTGCTAAAGGGGTGAGTATACACACCATCTTCTGTTGCAGGGGAATGATCTGTATAAGCCTTTAGGGACCAGACAGGCTCTCAAAATAACAATTTAAAAAAAATCCTAAGAAAATAAAGACTGTTTTTGTAAATCCCAATGACAGGTTGATGGAGTTACTATACCAAGGTCCACAAGAGATGGCCAAGCCAAAACAAAACATCAAAATTGGGGTTGGAGTGACCCTTAAAGTAAAGGTAGCTGCCCACAAGCAAATGTTATCTCTGCCTAGCATAATCATTCCAATATTTCACCTTACACATCACACAAATGCATTTGTTTGGAGATACCATCACAGCTCATAGATTTTGCAATCGCAGCTAAAAGGTCTGTCAACTTTTCTGAAGCACTTAAGACCAGAGTTGTTACAGAGAAACTTTAAACTAGTTTAAACAAACAGTGATAATTTGTTATACAGCAGAAACATTTTTCCAAAACACACAAAAAAAACAAAATCTAAATAAATATACACAGAAGTATGAAACATTTAAAACTGTGCCCACTTGGATGATGACAGCTGGTGAAGATTACTGGCCAGTTTAAAAGAGAAAAAAAAAAAAAAACACAAAATGTTAATAATCCCTATTTATTATTTGTAAAAACTACAAGCTTATTTGTAAAGAACCCACACATCCAAGCATATGGTGGTTGTGTCAAGTAACCAAACTATAGACAAGTCACCAGTCAACAGTGTCAAGAGTAGTACTGAAATGATGAAGTATGCAAACCTGTGGATTTTATCTTCTGGTTGGTATTAATGGCACTGTCTTCATGATCAATTGGCTGACTGGAGAGAGAAAATATCCATATTTCGGCTACCTTTGCAGATGCTTCCTTCATATTGCTAAAAAGACTCAAGATCTGGCTTCCCTCTGATGGATGTTGCATAACCTGAAAAAAAAATGCATATTTAAACCATGAATGTTCAGATTGAGCTCTGTAAATGCATTTCATAATGGACGATAATAAATGAGAACCATGGGAAAAGAAGCCAAGATGCTCCAGTTCACTGTAAAATCCCTTTCTTGTCAAACTATTGGAGGACACAGCAGATCCGGTGGCATACCCCCAGTTTGTTGGAGGTCAGACATTATGCAAAGCAAAAAGGCACAGCTCCTCATTTTGGCTACACCCTCAGCAGACAAAGACCAAGCCCAGGGATAGCAGGCAGTGAAGAAGGTAACAGTTCAGCATAACCTTCGAAAAGAAACAGTCTTCACTCTAGCAATATGCCAAACATGCAAAGAAAATGAATGGCCAGGATTGGTGTCCAACAATTAACTACATGTTAGAATAAGGAATTTTTCTTCTCACCGTAAAATACTGTTCTAACATTCTATCACAGTTCACTGGAAGATACAGCAAACAATAGGAACATGCAAGAGTAGTCCTTAAAGAGAAACGTTACCCATATCTTCAAAACAACAAGATACCTTTAGACATGTTTAGTAATGACAAACTACAAGCAGATAATGCTGGAGAATTGCCGGCTTTTTATTTTTTGCATACCTGATTATTCTTCTCATCAGACTGTGGCCATTTTAACTGAGGGCAGATTACTAGATCTCCCTTTACTTTCTGGAACTCTGGCACTTGTGACTAGGACATCATCTCAGGGGAGGAAAATGCCTTTCCCTGAGGTCTCGTGAGATTACAGAAGAGATTTCCCAGCAATGATCTGTGATGTAACCTTTCCAGAATGCAGTGTTTGGGCACATCACATCATTTGGACCAGGGAGTGGGAAAAAAGAAGAATAAGTAAAATTAAAAAAAGTGTTTGTTTAGCTAATGAATGGAAGATGATTGCATATCAGCGTGCAGAGCTGTATGCTGATGTGGTTTTTAGACAAAGAGGTAAAAGGTCCACTTTAAGAAAGGGAGTCAAAAGATCCACAAAACAGGCAAACCTTAAGTTTTGTGGTGAATCGCATAGCCACCTATAAACGCCAGCGCCCAAAACTAGCATTAGATAATGACATCGACACAACAGAATTTGGTAAATGTGTGAAACAAGGACCAGCTTGCATACGTGTGATATACATGCTTGGGTGGCAAAAATGGGGGCAAAATAAAAAGACATCCTCTAGCTTCTTGGATCTTACGTACACACCAAGCATTCACCAGGGCAGCCACTAGGGCTGCAACAACTAAATCAACATAATCGATTATAATCGATGATTGAAAAAGTTGTCAACTTTTTCAATCATCGATTAATCGGCCTCTGATTAGTTGGCCCTGTTCACGGCTCCACACAAGCTGCGCGCCGCACCTCCTCCCCAACTCCCGCTCACCGCCCGCCCACATCCACGATCGGCACAGGGACGCGGGAAGGAGTAAGGAGGAGCAGGTGAGGGGTGACAGCCGCCGACAGACAGGCCCGATCTCAGAAGCAACTTGCTGGAAGACTGCTCAGGTAAGCCTGCACTTCCCTCCCCCCCACATGGTGCTCTATAATGTATTGCTGGGATTTGTATTCCTCTATAGCTGATGGTACATTGTGCTTTATATTATACATAGGAATACAAATCCCAGCAATACATTGTACGCTGTATGTATAATGTACTATTTGTTGTATTCCTTTATAGCTGGTGGTATTCTGCATTGCGCTGTATAGAGGACTACAGATCCCAGCAATGATACATTATACAGCGCAATGCGGAATACCACCAGCTATAGATGGACTACAATCTCAATACAAACTAGTAGTCCATCACTGGAGCCACTTTTAAAAATGTATTTTATTTTTTATCCGATTAACCGATTAATCGAACTTAATAATCGGCTAACTAATCAATTTTGAAAATAATCGTTAGCTGCAGCTCTAGCAGCCACATCAACCCAAGTTTTTAAACAGTATGAATGAAGGAAAAAACTTGCAAACCAAAGCCTGATGTACAGTAAGAAGGTACAGAAAGCACCCATCTCCCTGACAGAGTTTGGGGTGACTTGAAATTAAATAATCCAGTTCTTCCAAGGGATAAGCCTGAGAAAATTCAACTAAATATGACTGAACTAGAAGCCAAGTATCCACATTTAGGTAGAACAAGGCATGGCCATAGGCAGCATAGAATGCATAGATCTTAATACCTTATCGCTGTAAACGATGAGGAAAGACCCCATGCAGGACAAGGCTGCCAGCACGGAGAAACAAAAATTACTACGAGGAAAGGCATGTTCTCTGACAAAGTAATCAAGGAAATCTCCTGAATAGGTTTGAAGGGGGGCTTTGGAAAAACCTTAAGGACAAAATTAAATGAAACAAGGGGAAGTTTAACAGGTGGGACAATCTGAGTAACCCACTTCTGTATCCACTCATTCCCTCTAATAATGAGTACCTGCACTTATTAAAGTGATTCAACCCAAGGGCTGTCAAACTTAATGCTGCAATTGGGGCATGCACAAAACAAGGCCTGCTGCAAGGAGTTGCCAGAATCTGCATGCAACAGCCTTCTTTTTAGTGTTGGGGATGTTACCAGGAAAAAATGAGAGGCAGACATACATTTACAGATGATGCCCCTTTAATGGTAAGCATAAATGAAGGAATATAGAACTTGACCTTTAATCTCCGAGTGCTGTACAGATGTGCGACGGATGGCGTCATTGCAAAATCATAAGCAAAAGGTGTATAGCAAAAGGTGTATATTACCATATCACCCACGACTCTTAAGCTGTATTCATCATAAAGCTAAAGCAACATTTCAGAGTTGTTCAGAGTTCAGATTTTTATGATCTCCTTTATCAGGCAACAGATCACTATTACACCCATGCCTCTAAGGGTAAAGACCCGGCTTACCACCAATTACAGCATTTCATTTGAGCTCAGCAAGTGAAAGGAGCACACACACGGGTGATAGACAGGCCTTTGACCCTTGTAAAGTGCTAGGTTATCTGGCTTTTACAACTCACTGTTGTGTACAACACAGGAGAGAGCTTGGAGCGGTGGCTTCTCTACAACACACACAGGTGCCATGGGGAACAAAAGTAGCCACCCTCCAGTGTCAGCACAAATTCCAGATGGTTTGAGGATCTAAAGCCGAATGATGCACAAATAAACTAGGTTTCTGTTATTAGTTAAAAGGTGCTTGAATGTATTTTTAAGATTTATCTCCTGAATTTGGTGTCACTTTAATAAAAGGTAATATACACGGAATATAGTATTGCACTATATTTTATTTTAACCCTAAGGTTTATTACATCGGATTGGCCTGCCACCTTAAGAATATAGGATGATCTATATGGGGATATACTGCGCCGAATATAAATTGATACATCATTGAGGGAGAGAGAAAGAGAGAGAGAGGACTACCTATAAATTTAAGTCTTTTTTTAGGGATTTTTATAGCAGAGTATGGCCAGGGAGTAGATGTTCAAAAAAAATAATAAGTCATATTAGTGTTGTGCACTATGGAATTATGGCTTCCGATGCTTCCTAACCCCTTTCCCACCTGATGTGTGTAGCGCTCCAATTCTGGTCTGTTTGCAGTGTTGTGCGACCACGAAAATTGTGAGAACTAATGCATGTATATAACCAGTGTGGTGCTATTTATTGTACAATAAAAACATATGGATAATTGTAAATATTGATTCTTTGAGATAGCTCTGGCCTTCTCCTGAAGCGGCACGCTGCCGCAAAATGCATGAGAAGAGCTAGTCACACTTCAAAAATACACCCCCCACGCCTCTTCACCGGTGGACCCCCATAGACTTGTCACAATATATAGGAGGATATCATATATGCATCTTTGTATCAAAAGGGTATTGTGATATCTGGCAGAGGGGGAGCTCGGGTGGAGCATTTGTTCCTAGATAATATATGTTGTCCATGTAAACTCCACGTATTTACGGAGTAATGGGGTATATAGAGCTGCAGCTAACGATTATTTTCAAAATCGATTAGTTAGCCGATCAGTTAATCGGATAAAACATAAAATACATTTTTAAAAATGGCTCCAGTGATGGACTACTAGTTTGTATTGAGTGTAGTCCATCACAGGAGCAAGCTTGGAGCAGTGGAAAACAGGGCCAACCAATCGGAAGCAGATTAATCAATGATTGAAAAAGTTGACAACTTTTTGAATAATCGATTATAAATCGATTATGTCGATTAGTTTTTGCAGACCTAGGGGTATATATTTTATTTGAAAATGACTAAACTTGTAATATGTTTAATCAATGTGTATTAATCTCTTTTATGGGTACCTTAAAAGTCTGCATTAGAACAATTTATTTTTGCATACAGATTCATATATACCTTGTCGATACATACATGAATCTAATCCCACATTCCCTTTAGGGCAGGTTCACACCATTTTCCGGACCAGATCTGGTCCGGAAAATGGTGTGAACCTGAACGCAGTTCCAGTGCATTCCAGACCAGACATGAGATGTGCAGTAATTTTCTGGTCTGGAACGGACTGCGCTGGTGTGAACACAGGCCATAAATAGCATAGGGATACATTAGGATGCATTTTGGGTCCAGAAACACTGGTCTGGATGTGGTGTGAATGGGCCCTCAACCCTTTCACTGCTGCTGATGAACCTACTATGGCGGCAACAATATTGGCATGTAAAACTCACGGCCACAATAGCAGCCAAGAATTTGTTTACATTTCTTCATTCAGCATCAAGATTTCACATAAAAGTGTAAAGCCACCCAATCACTTCTATAATTCTTGGAACATGGAAAACTAAACGTTTTGAAAATACCATGTTCTACTTAATCATCATGGGGTCTTTTTTTCGCAAGGGTTAGCTTTACGAGTTATATGTTGGAAAAAGTGAATTATTGTTAAGTCACCAGGGTAACCATGTAAAATCTCTATTATATGTGGGTGGTTGTTCCAGTTTGACGATCATCCTCCATTTTCAAACTAGTAAACCCCTCCCCCTAAAGGTGTGCGACAGAATGTCCCCTCTCTTTACAGTGCAGGAATACTGCCATGCTATGGCCAGTAGAGTTTACTCTTCCGTGTTGGGCCTTGTGCTTGATTTGAAAAGACAGTGACCTGGATCCAGGCTTAGGATGCCAACACCCAGCCCCCAGCCTGCAGTTCTACTTTACAGGGCTGTATTAGCTGCTGGGGGCACGATATCGAGAGAGAGGAACGGTTACCTTACTACGCTGACCGTCAACGTTTTGTATCTACTCCCAATCTTTTGCGAGGAGTGGTACCCCCGCCATCTCCCGATTGGGTCTGCCTCTACTGGGGTCTGGGGCCTCTTTTCATTTTCTCTCTCCTCTTTCTCCCCTCCTTGCCATTTGCTTTTATTATTTCACGGTCTGAGCCAGGGGGAACGACTGGGACGCACACAGACTCTAAGGACAACTTCCCTCTTCATCTCCTGAAGAAGCGCTATCTAGTGCGAAACGTTGAGAAAATCAAGCTCCTCCATCATCTTTCATTATATTAATCATGTTATGTATTTATGAACTTTTCAATCATGTTTTTTCAATCATGTTCAATTGCACAAGAATTCTGATTGTCATCTATATATGAATTAATTTAATCAATGTGGAGTGAGTTTACAGGGGAATCATGTTGTCAATTTTATCAATTCTATTTGCTTTTTAATCAATTAAAATATACTTTTTCAAGAAATTCTTGGTGTGCAAGTTGTCAGTCGGCTGCCTAAAAACCCCCAACTTTTCTGACTTTTCGATATTGGGCCTTGTGCTTGCTGAGCAGTTGTTTGGCCTCCCCAATGTATAGGCCTTTGTCTTTTACAACTATACCCAGTGGCGGAACTACCGCCGGTGCCGTGGCACCGGGGCCTAAAGCTGTGGGGGGGCCCAGTGGGGTTTGGTACTGGGCACCCCCACAGTCTCAGTGCGGTCCGGTCCTGCAATATATGGCAGTGCACGGTCCCGGTGGGGTGGGTGAGGGGTGAGAAATATCTGGATAGGGGGGTTATAGAGGGGTAATAGATACGTGGTTGGGGGGGGGGTTTGTAGAGGGGTAATAGATATCTGGATGGGGGGAGATCAGCGGGGCAGATGGGTTCTCCTGCACATGCGATTTGCGATGCCGATCTGCCCTGGAACAGCTGGGAAAGCTTCACCTATTGGTGGTCACATATTCCACCGCCAAAAAACTGGGCGGCATTACGTTAAAACGTGTGACCACGTCACACATTCTAACGTAGTCACAACCTTTGATAGAACACCGCCATCAGAGGGGAATAGCCGGTACCCATGTGAGAGGTCTGGGGGGCCTCCTACATAGGTATCAACTGTACCGGGCGGCATCCCGTCGACCAGACCAGCCTACCTGGGACCCTGCAAAGCCCACCATAGAGAGTCTCAGGTGGGCTATACAGGATCTATAGTGTGCTCTGCAGGGTCTCCGGTAAGTCCAGCACGCTACGGCAACATTAGAGACCGCTGGGGGGGGGCAGTTTGATCCGCTCCCGCCCCCCCCGTCCCCGTCTTGGGAGGGGGGCCCCAAGATAAAATCTTGCACCAGGGCCCTTTGGTTATGAGTTCCGCCACTGACTATACCGTGCTGCATATTTCATGGTGTTCACATTCATCTGACTGACCTACCCATGTGGGTCTAAATGCTTCCTTATATGAACTGAGAAACTCATTGGGAAGAGTGATGAAACATCTATAACATAAAGTCCCTTGTGATTAAAAGCTATACATTCACCTGGATAAATAAAGACCCTCACAGACAAAGCAATTAAAGTTTTTGGTTTAATTCCAAAAGTACTGCAGGAATGTCTGCGGTATTGTACAGGTGTAACTAGAATATCAACTAGCCTACAATGTTTCCAATGTAACAACACTGCTGAAGTGCGCATACCTTGTAGTTCATGAAAATATGATATCACCCCACACTTTGACTCACAAATCCAGCCTTTACATTGGGACAAAGATTTAAGCAGAACTATATTTGCCTCACCTGCAGCAATGCAAATTCTAAGGTTTGTTTTTTTTAAAACTTTGATTTTTAGGCATGTTCCACCTCAGAGATCAATGGCGGTTAAAGCTTAATCTTGACTCGCTGAAAATAGCAGCTTGTATCAAAGATTCAAAAGGACTCCATAGGGATTAAAGTAGAACTGTAGGCAAAACATTTTTTTAGATTTGGACAGAGTGGGGAGGAGGTAAACACACTGTCTGGTTTTAACCCTCCGCAATTCTTTTCAAAATGAAAGAAAACCAATTAGGCTTTAGATTTTAAGCAGCATGCACCTTAGCACTGATGGCTTTTGTTACAGTTAAAGTTTACGTTAAATATTCTGTGTAAATCTCCCTATATTCATGTCAGCATCTTGAGTAAGCCTGCAAGGTAACCTATCCAAATGCTTGGTAACCTATTCCCAACTAATGGCGGGATTATTCCGTCACGGTCTTTCAGTTCCTTAACGACTGGTGACAAAATAATCCTGTCATGTGGTACAACGAGTAGACATGTGCGATTTGTTTCGTTCCGAATCGAAATTCGGACGAATTTTCGGAAATTCAGATGTATCCGAATTACAGATATAACGAATGCAAACGAATCCGAATTTCCGTTTCCGAAATTCGGTAGAGGTAGTTCGATCGAACGTTCGTTTTCGTTTCTTATTTGTTTCGTTCGTTGAAGAAAAACGAATGAATGAACGAAACGAATAAGAAACGAAAAGAACGTGCGAACGAACTACTGCTAGCGAATTTCGCCCGAATCCCGAGTCCGAATTGACTTTCACACCCAAATCCCGAAAAACTAAATAACACAAATCCGAATTTAAAAACAAAACTAAACAAATTTTTTGGCAGTGCACATGTCTAACAACGAGCATTAGTCTGTGCATGGACCAGTGCTCAATGAGTTAATGTCGTTGATGGGTCCCTCAACATCAATTTAGGTGGTCACAGCACAGTGATCACTGGATAGCTGATCGCTGTGAGCACCCGTGCTGTGACAGCCAACAGCTCACTTTGTTGTGGAGCTGGAAGCCAGCTGTGTATTACAAAGTGATACTGTATTCTCCTCAGCGATACTTTGTATCTCCTCAAAATACTTAGTATCAAAAGCCCCAGGAAATGTAAAAAAAAAACAAAAAAAAAACCAGAAAATTAAATAAGAAAATAGTGCCAAGGAGGCTATTAAAGCTAGACAAATATACCACATTCTAATACTGTTCCACACTAATTGTATACCATTCCTAGAACTCCCAAAATAAACTGAAATCCCAGACACATGATGTACCCTATAAAATCAGGACAAATAAAATAAATTTATTAGGAATTACTTTCTATTAGCTACACTAATTATGTCCACATTATTATTGCCAAAGCTGTGAAAACATTTTTCTTTTTTGCATTTTTCTTTTTTATAAAAAAAAAAAAAAAGAATTTACATATGCATATAGCACAACAAATGAAAGCCCATTTTCCTTTAAAAAATGGTATATAATATGTGTATGTGCAATGCATGAGGAAGATGGAAATTATGGTTAAACAAACACATCGCAAAAATGGCAAAATTGCTGTGGTCCCCAGGAATGAAACCATTTCTGAAGCTGTGTCACTAAGGGGTTAGGCTTAGGCCAGTAAATGAAACACCAAAGGACAAAAATACAAATATAATGCTCCTTCATAAGACTCTTCTAACAGAGCAGATAATGAATAGATTTCCATCTTTTATATTGGAAATTTGACATTATTACTTGGGCACCCACCTCAGCCATGTTGATGCATCCAATCGCTAAAGTTTTGTAACCCAGAATTGTTCGATTTTTATATCTTTTCCTCCGCTGAAGCATTATCTGGAGTTTATTTCCTTCCCTTTTTAAAAAGTGAGGGTACTAGTAAAGAAAAAGCAAGACAACATTCATGTTACTCTTCATGCTCGACACCGACAACGGTACTGCAAAACACCCACATTTCATTTAAAAACACAGAGGGGGATTTATCAAACCGGAGCAGACAGAATCTGGAGCAGCTGTGCATGGCAACCAACCAATCAGCTTCTCGGTTTCATTTCAAATCTTAAAGTGACATTAAACCCTCAGATTTTTTAACATAAAACCAATAGTGTAATGTGCGCCTTACTGTAATCCATGGTAGTTTCCCTTCTCTTTGCTGCTCTTCCTTTTAAATCCTCATGTCTTCTCATGCTGGGGGAGAACTTCCCTTTGAAGCTGACTGCCTCTTCCTGTAGTGCTGGCTCAGGTTACAAACCTACACACAGACGCCATGTATCCATTTCAGAGACAAGGCAGTCTGCTGCAAAACAGTTCTGCCCAGCATGAGAATTAAAAAGGAAGAGCAGCAAAGAGAAGGGAAACAACCATGGACTACAGTAGGGTACACATTACAGTATTGTTTTAGGTTAAAAAAATCTGAGGGTTTAATGTCACTTTAACTGATCAAACTGAAGAGAGAAGCTGATTGGTTGCCATGGGCAACTGCTCCAGATTCTGCCTGCTCCAGTTTCGATAAATGACCCCCATAGCATTTCACTGTGCATAAATACAAGTCATCTGAAATGCTACAATAAAACAATATTACCTGTAGTGAAAAGGTAAGTGCAAGATCTGTTTCAACTTGTCCACTAGGTGGCAGCACAATCTCATGGGAGCGAAGAATCCGTTTTGAACCCTACGGTTAAAAAAAAATAAAAATACAAACCATGAAAGTGAGTTCGAAAAAACTAAAATGCTAAGATCTCCGACGGTCTAAAGTGCTGTTAATCATCAAGTCCTATACAGTGTAAAAGGACGTGAGGGCATTCCATCACTAGAGCGGAGGAGACAGGCTGAAGGGACCAGTCTAGGAGCCATCTGGGACCGTGGTTTCGGCGAGTATATCTTATTATAGCTCCCGAGGCAAAACGAGCATTTAAGTCTTGCAGTGCATGGGTAGCCCTACTCCAAGGTTTAAGATTTTATTCACCCGGAGTTCTTCAAGTCCACTGTGATTTAAAAGAGAACTATGGAGGTACGCGTTTTTTCCCATAGTTCTCTTAAAGGAGAACTATGAGGCGAGTGCTTTTCACTCACCTCATAGTTCTAGCCGACCTGTGACAATGAAACTGTCACAGGTCGGCTCAGTAGATCGGGAGGTGAGCGGGAGGTGAGCAAACACATCGCTCACCTCTCGATCCTGTCACGATCTCTGCCGTGACAGGGGGAGGGGCTGGATTCCCCTCTCCCCGCTCTGCCAGCTCTGACTGGCGGAACGGACGGGGGAGGGGGCGGGTACAGCTGGCTCTGCCTCTAGATAGGCAGAGCCAGCTGTCACTCACGCAGCTGGGCGGATCCTGTCGTCTAAGTCGGGATCAGCTCCGGCCGGAGCTTGCGGTATACTGAGCTTAGGGTAACGGGAGGACGCTAGTTTGTGTCCTCCCGTTACCCTAAGGAGAACTATGGGGAAAAACACTGACCCCATAGTTCTCCTTTAATGGTCATGGGAAGACATATACTAACCAAAGCTCAGTATATAGCGAGCTACAGCTCGCGGTATTTTGAGACCGCTGCAGGGGGGCGAATCCCAACATTACTGTCGAGATCCACCCAGCTGCGTGAGTGACAGCTGGCTCTGCCTATCTAGAGGCAGAGTCAGCTGTACCTGCCCCTTCCTCCGTCTGTTCCTTCACTCAGCACTGGAGAATCAGAGCGGGGGAGGGGGAATCCCTGCAGGGAGATGATCGAGAAGTGAGAGCTACGGCATGTGTTCACTCACTTCCCGATCTATTGAGCCGACATGCGACAGTTTCATTGTCACGCGTTGGCTCGACCTATGAGGGTGAGTGCTTTTCACTCACCTCATAGTTCTCCTTTATTGTTCTATAGCAAGGGTATCCAAACTTCAGCGTGCCAGCTGTGGTGGAACTACAAATCCTATGGAGGCACTGCAAGACTAAGACAGCCACAGGCTTGACTTCCAGAGGCAGATGAATGATGGGATTTGCAGTCTCACCACCAAGTTTGACAACCCCTGTTAGCTGGAAAGGGATACACATCTTTAAAAGAATATGAAGGAGGAATGTATGCAAATATTTTGTATACAAGGATATAGGATTTAAAGTTTGAGCTTGAGTAACCTAAAACCACTATGAGGTACAGTTAATAGAACGTGTGCTTACTTGCATTTTTACAGCAATAACCACCGAAATCAGTTCCTTATCCAGCTCTTTCACAACAAGCAGCTTTTTCAGAGTCAGACTGCACAGCCTAGAAAAAAAAAAACAAGCAAAAATGACTTGCAGACATTCATTTTGTTATGGAAAAACAACAACCAAAAAAACCCCCTTTTCCTCCTTTGGATTAAAGGAGAACTATGGGGTCAGTTTTTTTCCCCATAGTTCTCCTTAGGGTAACGGGAGGACACAAACTAGCCCAGCTGCGTGAGTGACAGCTGGCTCTGCCTATCTAGAGGCAGAGCCAGCTGTACCCACCCCTCCCCCGTCCGTTCCTCCAGTCAGCGCTGGCAGATCGGAGCGGGGAATCCAGCCCATCCCCCTGTCACGGCAGAGAGCCGTGACAGGATCGTGAGGTGAGGGAACCCGGTATGTGTTCGCTCACCTCCCGATCTACTGAGCCGACCTGTGACAGTCTCATTGTCACAGGTCGGCTTAGAACTATGAGGTGAGTGGAAATCACTCATGTCATAGTTCTCCTTTAAAGCCCAGCTTCAGCCATTTGGTCAAAGCTTTGAATAGGCTTGGGAAAAGTTATATATTTAGTGACATTTTCAATACTGTTTGGGAACCTATTACAATCTCCCCCAACTTTCTATGCAGTCACATGAACAGGAATTGAAAAAAATCTGACGGGGATACAGATCCCACTAGCCTTGTCATCACATTTTCCAAGAAAGGTACAAACCTCAGATGTAAACATATCTCATTACACAGACTGCCTGGTGCAAAAACAGTGCATGTCCTTCAGCAGCCTCCACATTTTTATATATGTACATCGCTCCACAACAGAGTTCAACAAAACATCTCAGGCACATGTATAGGTGAAGATGAATAAAAGGCATTGTTCTTTATAAGCATGGCACAAGCACAACAAACAGAGGGTATTGGTGATCCAGAGGACAGTTAAGCTGGCCATAAACTGCTCAGATTTTCAAAAGAACTATCGTTCTGTTAGTTGATGGGGATTTAGACTATAGTGACAAAAAACTTAAACACTTTCCATCCTGCTCCTAAACTAACGAAATTCTAACCGTGAATGTGGTTTTTAGGGCTGCAACCAACTAATCGATAAATGAGAATAGTTGCCAACTATTCTCATTATAGATTGGATCCCCTAGTTCTCTCCTTCTCACTGGGAGGAGGGCACGGCAAACAGTGCGGGGTTGCAATAGCCAGTCTGCTATTGGCTATTGCAGTTTGAAATGGCCAATAGCAGGATGGCTATTGCACCTGTACACTACATGGTGTATTTACAGTCAGCTGCCGACTGTGGAATCTTGCCACTGGCAGCTGTCATTCCCTGGCTGAAGCTATTCAAGCGCCATGTGCATACAGCACAATTTTTTTTTAAAAGGTGGGAAGTCACAGTTTTGGCCTGACACATTCTGCTGCGGGAGGTGCATTGCAGTGCCATTCATTTCAATGGTACCCCAAAAGCAGCCTGGCTATTGCACCCACCCACTGCTTGCTTTGCCCTCCTCCCAGCGTGGAGGAGCTAGGGGATCCAACCAACTAACTGTTAATGAGAATAGTTGACAACTATTCTCATCATCGCTTATTATTCGATTAGTTGGTTGCAGCCCTAATGTGGTGGCTGCATTAGTTTACTTTATGGGGGTTTTTTCACTTTATATTTACCTGGTAATCCTATGAATAACACTTTCTGTTTTAGGGTGGCTATACTACACTGTATTTTATAAAGAAGCCATGTTTGTCATCCTGGGACAGGATTAACATCTTCTCCGTCACCATTGCATGTGGGAGTTGCGTAATTTCATAGTTTAGAAGGAAGATAACAGTATTGAAGTCACACTAAGTTAGGCTGGGCACACACCTTACAACCATCGCAAGACTTTTGTCTTGCGATGGTTGTAAGGTAATTTTAAAAAACGTAAGATCTGCCTATCTTGGACAGGCAGATCGCACTTGCAAGCCACGCCCCCGAGGGGTGGGCTTTCCGATGACCGTAATGCCGAACGGGCAGTGTGCGCTTGCGCACACCGGCCCGTCCGGCTTTTATCTTACGAACATGCTACACACCCGCCGAACATCGTACGATGCTCGGCGGGTTTTCGAACATGTTCCCAAGATAAAAGTAGTGCGACCTTACAGTAGTAGAGGTCGCACTGCTTCCACACACCTTACGATAATCGTACGATCGCAGGATTTCCCGCGATTATCGTTTGGTGTTTGGGCACCTTTACAAGGACACCAAATTTCTGGGAAGATATTTTCACTATTACTTCCCGAAATCGTTCTAATTCTGAAAAATGAAAACGAATACCACTACCACATCCAATGACAGGCAAGCTGTAATATATTTAATCTGTTATTCGATTTAGATATCCTTTAAAATTGTCAGTTAAACACACAAAAGAATCCACTTGGAAAAAAGCCTCTTTGCGGATATTCATCCCTGCAGAAATTTGGAATGCCTAAAAAATTCCCCCTATAGTAAGTAATCTGACAATCTGTAGAAGTAACTAGCCAACTTGTGATCAGCTAACTGGCCAGAATTATTGTTTCATAATACCAATAACAAACCGAGGAAAAACAAACTTCCTGCCAACCTTTTATTGGAATTTAATAACTTTAGCTTTTTTTGTTTTTTAATTCAAGAGGTTTTTATTAATTGCAACAAATGAGTAACAAACATACGAAAGGTATAAAACTGAGCGTCGCAAGCATAGCATAACAAAATTGTGTGGCGGTAAGACACAAGAGTATAAGTACATCCAATCAGGCATACAACAATCAAAGCAGTCGTGTTGCATAAAATATTCACCTGTAGTGAAATTGTAAACAATTACAATAATGAGTAAAAGGAAAAAAGGGGGAAAGGAAAGATTAGAAAATATAGATATAGAGGAGAAGAGCGCTCCAACTGTGCCCACCACCCAGCAATGAACAACCATCAAAAAATGTCAGTGATAAGAGTTCGACAAGGCGAGTACCAAATGTACGAGTCAATAGATTTTGCAGCCAGGGTTCCCATATATGCTCAAAGCGTGGTAACTTATCAGCCAAACGTGCAGAGCTCCGTTCATTAATAAACATCCAGTGTAATCTCCACAAAACTTCCGCAAAGGGTATCGGGACTGATAGCCGGAGTCGCGCTATGGTTTCCTTAGCTGCAGTGAGAACATATAACAAAAAATGACGGAGTTTGTGGAGGCACTCTGAAGGGTGATTAAGTAGTCTCCAAAAAGGTGAAGCACGCAACATAGTATTCAGAAGCTCAGAAAGAAAATCATATACTAGTGTCCAAAATGCTTGCACTTTGGGGCATTGCCACCAAGTATGAAAAAAGTAGCCCATTTCTCCACATCCTCGAAAACATAAGACTTCAGCTTAGTTAAAGCCCAACTAAAACTTATGTATGCATTACTGGAAAGCAGTCAGGCTACATATACAGTAACACACTGCGCCAATAGTTTTTTTTTTAATTCCCAAAGTTCTGCAATGAGGGTAAAAATACCCTTTGCTGGCAGCACCTTAGAGGCAGACCAATGCTCTCACATACATGCAGCAGCCCAGGTCTGCAGCAGTCCAACACCCTTCCCACAGCTTCAATTGAGCAGCATAATTGAAAACCCAAAATGTTTGCCAATATATTGTTACATGACACAACAATAAAATTATATTTCAGGATTACATGACACCAAGTCGTTCAGGGGAAAGTATAGTGCCATTTTCAGCACATAATTTAGATTATAGTAGTGTAATTTAAGTGTAAATTTCATCTTTTGACATAATTCCTATACCTATTTTTTTTTCCATTTCTTTATTGACCGAACAATAAAAGAATAGTCTTCAAAACATACCACGTAGAACATCCATGGAAGACAATTATAACATTCAGAATATAATGTATCATACTAGAACACAATAAAACAGTTTTCATTCTTAACCTAACAATATGATTAGTACCCTGAAGGCCAAGAGGTAAATTTAGTGCAAAAAAGCAAAATGCTAAAAACAAAAAAACAACAGTTTAAGTTCATCAAATAGGGGCACAGCATCTTTTTTGGCCCCATCGGGAGACGCGGGAGAGAAGAGGAAAAAAGTATAGACCACAAGAATAGGTGGATAGAGGGTAAGGAGGAAATTACAGGGAAACCACCAGAATGGAAAAAAAAAAAAAAAAAAATGAGACTAGTACAAAAGGGGAGGGGGAGAGAAAAGGATCCCACTTTAAGAGGAGGCTGCTTCCCACATCCACAACATGAGCTTAACTTAGCTCTCCAACTGGTTGATATAGGCAAGGCATGTTTAGTGGCCAATGGAGACTCAGAATGACATGTAACCGAGGGGAAAAAAAATTATCCAGGATCGCCAAGTAGTTACATTTCTCATCTGAGTTTTGCAAGGAAGCAATGAGGTCTTCCATATCATGAATAATCATGAATTATGTAAATATAAAGATTTGTAGGTTTGCTACTATAACTAGGTGCTCTCACTGCTTAAAGCAGAAATAAACAGCTTTGTAAGTGTTTTTATCCCCCTAATGTGCAAGTATGCACAGCAATACAAATACACAATAAGAGCACAGTTACAAGTATGACCTTCTCCAGCACTGTCGGGTCAATCTCATGTCCTCAGCGCTGTCCCCCAGCGCCGTCATTTCCACTTCTAGGGTTTTGGAAGTCCTCTTCGGCCATTGAATGGACACTGATGAAGTAACTCTTGCACATGTACACAGGAATTACAATTCTCCACTATGCACGGCCCAATCATGGTATCTTAAAGATGCTGTAATTGGGCTGAGTGTAAACAATGCATGGCACATGCACCGTAAAGTGTAAAAAAAAAAAGAAGTTGCTACGGGAGAGAAATAATCTTTTTAGCAGAAGAAACTTTGTATGTCTCTTTGTAAGTTAATTTCCTGATGTAGGCACAGTTAAAAGATAGTATTAGTACCGCCTCATTTTGGGGGGCTCAAATGTATTTAATTTTTTTATTGTCGGCGGTTTATTTTAACCTTAAATCATATCCTGTGGCTGCCAGTGATGAGACATTTTTGAGCTTGTG